AAGGAAGGAAGGAAGGAAGGAAGGGCACTCAGGCATCAGCTCAAAGAGAAACCAATTTTCCTGATGCCCTGCCTGTCTCATTTCTGCTGAAGCCATTTGGAATAGCTTGAAAAACAATAGCTCAAACCCATTCACATCATGTGATCTCATCAGCAGAATCAATGTGAAAGCATTCAATTCCAAAAAAAAATATTGAAGCCCCAATGGGAGAGGAAAAAAACTAAGTATTTTATGTTGGATGGGGGAAGGAACTCTAGGCTGTTTCTCATTGCCTTTTATATCATGTAGCCAATTGGGGGGGGGGAATGTGAATTAAACCACCCCAATTCTAGAGCATTTCTCACATTACTTGTAAATGTTTTTGCACCTTAAGACAATTTGAAAAAGTACTAGTAATTGCTACAAGAACTCAATGGCTCAGTGTCACACAGTGACTTTTTCAGAGGATCAATAACTCTTCATTGCATTTGTGATTAGGAGATATTCTGATCAGACATGTTGAGTCACAGATAGAGATGGGCGTGAACTGTTGTTCCGGGGCACCCTGGCTTTCCTTGCCCCACCTCTTCCAATAGGCACCCACTCAGAAGCAGCAAGGCAACTTCCCAGCCTTGCCTACTCCAGCAGGTACCCATTCAGAAGCATCTCCTGGATGATGCAGGGCTGGGAAGCCACACTGCTGCCTTTCAGTGGGTGCCCAGCAAAGAAGGCAGGGCCGGGAAGCCAAGCCACTGCCTCTGAGTGGGTGCCCACCAGAGGAGACAGTGCTGGAAAGCCAGGGTGCCGACACAACAATTGTGTGACCCAACTGTGGAACCATGGCTTCTGCCCATCTTTAGTCACAGATAATGATGGACGGTGACCTTTTTTCAACCATGGCCTAGTGAATGTCAAAATTTTTCAGCTTTGCAGTAGCCAAATGTTTTCTGTTTCACTTCCTAATCTAATGTGGGTTTGTTTGTTTCCTGTTATCTCAGAAGCTTCCTAATCTAATGTGGGTTTGTTTGTTTGTTTCCTGTTATCTCAGAAAGATTAAAGTGAAGAACAGTATCTTACATAAAACCAGATCACCAAGGTGCATCATGCGTCTCAGATGACTCTGGGGAACTTCTAAAAGCTGTGGTGAGATGCCAAGTTGAGCTACATAAATGCACAACAAACAACCCTGTATGTACAGTAATTATTCTTGAGTGGACTGATCTGAACCACATAGGGTAAAGCAGTGGTGGAGGTTAACTCTTCTGTAAATCCATTTGGTAGTCCCAACTGCAGTAAACCAACTCTAGAAGAGACAAGATTACTCACATTCATGAATTGTTGAATGGTGAGTCAACACCTATATAAATCCCACGGATCCAATGGATTTAACTGAGACTGCCAATTGGATTCCGGTCTCTGTTCCCAGTCTCATCTTCCACTCCATGTCTCAGTTACTGAGACTCAACAAATCTCTCACTGTCACCTGGGTGTTTCTACCAATTAACAATGTTAGCATTCCTATCATTAGGAAGACCACCAACAGGATTACAGGATTCCTACCAAAATAACTAATTCTGGACAACTAACAGTACATCTCAAGCATTAGCAACATTCATAGCCTTATCAGTACTACTCTTCTGTGTACACCTGTGTACACAACTCTTACTCTCTCATCTAGAGATGGCTATGAAACGAACCATGAACCAAAACAACCCAACAAACTAGGCTGGTTCATAGTTATTTCATGACCCAGTTTGGGGATCCCATTTTGCCACAGCAAAATGAAACACAGAATTTTTTTCCTCTTTGGCAATTTGTTTGCTTTAGCAAAAAGAGATGCCTGCCCATCCCTTCCCACTATTTATTTATTTATTAGATTTTTACCCCACCCCTCTAGACAATGTCTACTCAGGGCGGCTTACAAATAAAACATAGCAATATAAAATATGTAAAATCATAAAAATTTACAATTATAGCAATTGATTACAACCAAGATATTACCAAGATGGCATACCATAAGAAAAAAGAAAAAGAAAGAGCTAGGGGTGGAGATCGCTTAATTGACTGGAGGTAGAAATCGCTTAACTGACCCTGTCACCTCCACCTTCCTCCACCACCACTGCCATCAGTGCCATCCTCAGAGGCAGGAGGACCAGTTTCCCTGTCAGGAGCCTGTTAGTGTCTCTGAACATGTCTCTGTGGTGGCAAAAGTGGAGGCATCAGGAGCAGATAGCGCCCCCCAGCACAAACCGGAAAAACAAACCTTGAACTGGTTCATTTTTCCAGGGCCTCATGATGGCTCATTGTTAGCTATGAATTATAAACCGTGACACACCCCTGTTTTCCACTCTCATCAAATGCTATAAAGAAAAAACACAGAGCCAGCCCTACCATTTCCCTGTGGCGTTCAACTCAGGTGCCAGAGCACACAGGGACAAATATGTGGTTGCTTCTTCATGAGGTCATCACTGACCCTGAGGCACTCATTTATTCATTTCTTTTTTTATCTTGCCTTTCTTCCAATAAAGGGACTCTGAGGCACTCATTTATTCATTTCTTTTTTTTTATCTTGCCTTTCTCCCAATAAAGGGATTCAAGGTTTGTTTGTTTCTTTTAAAAAAATTAAGAAAAATGGAGTTCACATTCAATAAATGATGTTATTAAATATTTAACCCATTAAAACGTTTTATCTTGCCTTTCTTCCAATAAAGGGACTCGAGGTTTGTTTGTTTGTTTGTTTGTTTAAAAAAATTAAAGGCAAATGGAGTTCAAATTCAATAAATTATGTTATTAAATATTTAACCCATTAAAACAACATTTTGTCTCTGGGAGCTACCCTGCTGTACTGCTCAATTCTACAGAGGGAGGTGTCCAACCAAGTTTGGAGGGAGCAGCACATTCACAGGAGAAGGGGATTTCAGTTTCTGTGGATTTCTCTGGGCGTTTCTTGTACCTGCCCTCACGATAAAAGAGCACATAGGAGTAGGGTTGCCAGATACACAGGTACTAAAAGGAGGACATAGAAAGACAAAAAGGAGGACAAAAGAGGACATATTGAATGTTTCATTTGAATCATTCCAGATTAAACCCATAATCAATACAATTTTATTACAATAGCTGCCAATAAATGTCTCTTAGTGAACCAACCAAGAAATGGTCATGTTAAACATTAAAAATAAATTCAATGGAAGCTTTTTTTCAAAATACCAGGGGTGGGTGGGCAGGTGGGGGTGGGGAAAGCCAGGAGGAAGGGGGTCCTTCCACCTCTCCCCCTCCCATCCAAAATTATAACATAAAATATAGAAAAGCCTGACATTTTGAAGGTTTTTATCTTTGCCTGCCTGATGGAGGACATTAGACTAAAAAGGAGGACATGTCCTCCTTTTGCCTGACATCTGGCAACCCTACATAGGAGCCAGGCCAAAATAAAAATAACCGTTAAGACAACTCCAATGATTGTCAGTAGCTGCACTTTGCTGCCTGGATTTTCCTTTTTTGGTGGCAGCATGCATGCAGGAAGATATGTGAAGGCGCCATTCCCCCCCCCCCCAACACTTCTCTCTAAGACCAGATAGCCCAGTGGCAATGATGAAGCTGGGGAGGGGGGGTTAGTACCTTACTTCCCACTTGAGGCTGCAGGAAAGCTTGGGGTGCCCCTGAGAAAACACCTAGGACCATCCCAAGGAATCTTCTCAACAACAGTACAGTTTACACTGCTATACACTCTTTTAAAAATCATTTAAAACAACTATAACTGAACAGGTAATTATATTTGGTTAAAGTATTTCTGTAACAAGAGTGGCCCAGTGGTTTGAGTGCTGTAACTGGGAGAACCACATTCTAACCACCACTCTGCTGCGAGGAATCATTGGATGACATCGGACCAGTCACCAGTCCCTCAGCCTGACCTTCTTCATTAAGCTGTAGGGATAAAATGGGGCAAGGAGAAAAGCCATACAGGCTGTCTTGATCTGACTGGGCTGTAAATGTAAATATATATTGAATAACAAATAAAGAGCCTGGCAGAACATTGATCTGAATATGACTGAAGAGTTCAGACAAAATGATTTATTGTTGAATGTGTGCCTTACTTTGACCTGACTCTGTATTCTGAAGCAAAAGGTTTCATTCCACATTGGATCCTTACAGTCTTTAATAGTCTTAGTCCGGACAGTTTCAAAGGAAGCTGTTGGCAGATACAAGCTGACGTAGCAATCTGACTGGTTAACTGTTTCAAAAAAGAGAGAAAAGAATGTAAAAGTTATATTCTTAGGATACACTAAAAACAAGGAAAAACATAGAAATCCAAGACATTTTTCCCATTGTATCCCACGTCTGCCCACATGTTGGACTGAGATAATTTAGGGGATAAAGCGCCTACAATACCCAATCCAGTTAGGCCATTAGCCCTAGTGGCTGAGGAATATGAAAGCTTTAGAGCAAAATGTAACTTTTTCTAGCCTGATCCTATCTATTTTAAGGTCTCATCAGACTAAAGCCCCCACCATTCCTCTGAATGGACATGCTAGTTAGGGCTCATAGGAGTTTTTGTAGGCCCAAAACCTTTGTTCCACACCCTTCACTTAGCTCATAAAAATAGTATGGCTTCCACTTATATACAGTATGTGTCTCTTCCATAAAACAAATGGAACAATTTCTCCCGCTGCGTAGGTCTCTTGCAAACAGACTTTTTTTTTAATCTCCTGAAAGTACTGGGTTCTGCAATGAATATATCCATTTCCCACCCTCAATTCATGCACAGTTCCTCTTGCTATGATCACAGCAGTGCATTTTTGTCATGAATTTCTGCACCTTTTTTTTTGTTGTTCCGGAAAGTATGGTTTACTTTCATTACTGCTTCTTATATGTAGTTGATGTTTCTGGTGAGAACTGGATGTTTTCAATCAACATTTGAAAAAAAGAGAGCTCCAATAGAAAATCTGTATTAGGGAAATCTATTTCTAAAAGATTTTTTAATTTTGTTTAAAGAGAAACAACCGTCTTAAAGAAAACAGAGATGTGTTTTAAAGCAGAGCTTTGGATACAAATCCTGGTAAACTCCATGCTCCTTTTGACACCAAATGGCTGAAAGAAAGGGTGGAACAAAAGCTCAACTTGGAAAATCTCTTAGTTACAATCTATGAGTGTATAAGTCTGTGCTAATACAAGGCTTTGTAGTACCTACAAAAAGCCACTCTGAAGCTGGAAAACATCCAGCATTAACTGAAATATTTAATGAAGATATCCATTTCATGATTTGTGAGATTCTTAACAAAAGTGTCCATGTATCCTGGGTTTTCCATCATCAGGAGGAAATGGTGAGCATCCTTTGATTTTTGTTTTCTTTTTATATTTCTTGCAAGCAAATATGCACAATAAAAAGGGCACATATTTGAAAAAATAATATAAACATGCTTTAGTCAATGCAAAACTTTTAAATTACATAAATTAAAATGGATACATTAAAATGTTAAAATGGATGCATTAGGACCAATGTATGGCAAAACAGGGGCATGCTGCCTTACAGGGAAAGGGAGGAAGAACTTCCAGCTCCATGACAGAACTTGGGTGGAACAAAATTGATTGGTCAGTTACTGAGAAATATGGCAAAATCAAAACTAAAACATTTTCCGTTCTATTCCCTGTTTCTTTAGAATTTGTATAGCTAAGCAAACCCTACAGGCATAACTACAAACAGTAAGCTTGGTTCATGCATGTTTACACAACAAGGAAGACAGGCAAAGATGCAAATAACGGTTTTAGTAATTATGTCTGTAATTCTCTGATAAAGAGAATTAGCCACTCTCCCCCCTTCATAGATTGCTGCCTTGTCATGGTGAAGGGGCTTGAGTAATTCAGAGACGCTGTGGGCTATGCTGTGCAGGGATACCAAGATGGACAGGTCCCATTGGAGAATTCTGACTAAACGCGATCCACCTGGAGCAGGAACAGGCAAGCCACAGCAGTCTCTTTGCCAAGAAAACCCCATTAACAGAAACAAAAGGCCTAAAAATATGACGCTGGAAGATGAACCCCTCAGGTCAGAAGGTGTCCAATATGCTATTGAGGAAGAGTGGAGGACAAGGACAAGTAGCTCCAGAGTGAATGAAGTGGTTGGGCCAAAGCTGAAAGGACGCTTCGCGCCTGGAAGTGAAAGGAAGTCCGATGCTGCAAAGAAAAATACTGCATAGGAACCTGGAATGTAAGACGATGAACCTTGGTAAGCTGGATTTGGTCAAACACAAGAGAGCAAGAATAAACATTGATATCCTGGGCACCAGTAAACTAAAATGGATGGGAATGGGTGAATTCAATTCAGACGATTATCGTATCTACTATTGTGGGCAAGAATCCCGTAGAAGAAATGAAGTAGCCCTCATAGTCAACAAAAGAGTGGGAAAAGCTGTACTGGGATACAATCTCAAAAAGGATAAAATGATTTCAGTACAAATCCAAGGCAGACCTTTTAACATTACAGTAATCCAAGTTTATGCACCAACCACCAATGCTGAAGAGGCTGAAATTGACCAATTCTATGAAAACGTACAACACCTTCTAGAACTGACACCAAAGAAAGATGTTCTTGTCATTATAGGGGACTGGAATACTAAAGCAGGGAGTCAAGAGATAAAAGGAACAACAGGTAAGTCTGGCCTTGGAGTTCAAAACGAAGCAGGGCAAAGGCTAATAGAGTTTTGTCAAGAGAACAAGCAGGTCATCACAAACACTCTTTCCCAACAACATAAGAGGCGACTCTGTAAGGTGCATGCATGTTTGGCATGGATAAGGTGAAAAACCAGAGAGAGAGTTAGGACACAAAGATGGAGACCAATAGAACCAGAGGAACTATGGGACTTTGTATTTCTGGCTATAAGCCATCATTGTGAGAAATTCAACTCTTGAAGGGACTTTGTATTTCTATGCTTTCAGTAAGTTGACAAAACAGTAAGTTGACAAAAAACATCTGCTGCTAATTTAGGGAGTGGAGCAAACCCAGGGATTAAGAAGACTCTGGTATGAGGATCCAAATGAGCAAGCAGATTCCACACCTGTCCACTAAGTAATGGAAGACACATTAAGCATTCCATACTTCACAATAAGTGATAAGGACCATATATATAGGGGGAAACAAAGAAACATCTAATGTGCATGCCCAGCTAGCAAACTGCCTTAATATTGTTCTTCTTGGGATACAAAGATCTAGTGGTCACCATTTTGTGACAACTCTGCACATGGACATCACCAGATGGGCAATGCCGAAATCAGATTGTTTATATACTTTGCAACCAAAGATAGAGAAGCTCTATACAGTCAGCAAAAACAAGATCTGGAGCTGATTGTGACTCTGATCATCAGCTTTTTATAGCAAAACTCAAGCTTAAACTGAAGAAAGTAGGAAAACCCACTGGGCTAGTCAGGTATAATCTAAACCAAATCCCTTATGAATACACAGTGGAAGTGAAGAACAGATTTAAGAAACTAGATTTGGTGGACAGAGTGCCTTAAAAACAATGGCTGGTGGCTCATAACATTGTACAAAATGCAAGGGAGATAGGGAAAGTTACAGAAAATTGAATGCAAGGAGAGACAAGAGGGCCTTCTTAAATGAACAGTGCAAAGATACAGAGGAAAATAATAGAAAGGGAAAAGCCAGAGATCTGTTCAAGAAAATTGGAGATATTAAAGGAACATTCTGTGCAAAGTTGGACATGATAAAGTACAAAAATAGTAGGTGCAACAGATGCCTAAGTCGCTCCTGTCAATCACAGTGGAACCTCATGTGCATAAGCCAATGAGAGGACAGGAGATGCAGATACAGAGTTTTATAAGTTAGTTGGAGAGTTAGTGAGAAGAAGAAGGGGGGTTTGCAGAGAGAGGGAGAGATAGAGAGAGAATTATTACTAATAAATATACACTGGTTAAATTGAAAATAAGTAAACAAGACGTGATCTAATGTGGAACATAAAATATAATATGTCAATGATTGTGATCTAATGAAAATGAATAAAGACCATCTGTGATTCGGAGTTACCTTTCATACCCTTTAATAAAACTAATTATGTTATTGGCAACAAGTGTAAGAGTAACATTTACAGTGTGGATAAGAGAAATCCACTGGTGGCAGCGAGAGAGAAAGAAGGAATGTCGCCAGCGTGGATCCTTGGGTTGAGAGAAACAAACAGGGGCACGGGGTGTAAGTCACAGTAGGGACCTCACAAAAGCAGAAGACATCTGGTATAATTCTTCTGTGGCAAGAATACACAGAGGAATTATACCAGAAAGATCTGGATGTCCCAGACAACCCAGATAGTGTGGCTGCTGATCTTGAGCCAGACATCCTGGAGAGTGAAGTCAAGTGGGCCTTAGAAAGCATGGCTAACAACAAGGCCAGTGGAAGTATTGGCATTCCATTTGAACTATTTAAAATCTTAAAAGATGATGCCATTAAGGTGTTACGCTCAATATGCCAGCAAGTTTGGAAAACTCAGCAGTGGCCAGAGGACTGGAAAAGATCAGTCTACATTCCAATCCCAAAGAAGGGCAGTGCCAAAAAATGTTCCAACTACCGTACAATTGCACTCATTTCACACACTAGCAATGTTATGCTCAAAATCGTCCCTGAACCTGGATGCCCACGTCTCAGCAATGGCCAGGAGTGCACTTGCACAATAAAAATTAGTGCACCAGCTATGTCTATTTCTTGAGAGTTCTGATCTGGCCACTGTAATACATGCCCTTGTTACTTCCAGGCTGGATTAATGTAATGAGCTCTATGTGGGGCTGCCAATGAGAGCATCAGGAAGCTTCAACGGATCCAAAATACAGCAGCCAGATTGCTGAC